ACATAGTCAGTTTACTTTAAAATAGATTCTGTGAAACATTTTGATACATCTCATCGACGTGATAAGGCACTATATCAAATGGCAAGTATTATTATTATAATTATAATTATTATTATTACCCAAAAAATTGTGGGTTCAAGGCCCATGTCAGGGCTGACATTCCAGTGCAGTCCTGCAATGTCAGAAGTGTTGTCCTTCGCCTAAGCTCTACAAACACTGCCAGCCCAGGCTCCACACACACTTCACAGACAACATCAAACAAGAACAAAACTACATTTATTTAGTGTCTTTCATGTCAGGAAGACGTTCCAAGGTGCCGGACAGTCAAAGATTTGCACACGGGCCGGTGGGGGGGAAGGGGGGTGTGGTTGGGCTCAGTGGGGTTGGAGGGCAGGGAGGGTTGGAGTAGGAAGTTGATTTTTTTGAGACAGGACTTGAAGGAGGCAAACGAGGGAGCGAGGCAGAGTGGGCTGAGCTCCCGGACAGTGACTCTCAGGGGAGGACAGTGGAGAAGCTGGAAACCCTTGCATTCCGAGAGCCTGGAGTCTGGAGCTTACGTCAAACACAGTCTTCCGAACAAGATCGCTATTTAAATCACAACCCCATAAAGTGCTTGGCCAGTAAGTGCATTTACAGCTTGCAATTCCCGAGAGAATTAATGGTTTATAACAGCAATAGAAATGGGCCGGAGATTGTCGGTCGAAAACAACAATGACAACAACACGTGGGAATGTGGAACAGCACAGGTGCAATTAAGGGGAAGCTAGAGAAGTACATGAGGGAAGCAAGGAATAGAAGGTTATGCTTGAAGGCTTAGTTGAGGAAGGGCAGGAGGGGGCTCATGTGGAGCATAAAAGCTGGCATAGACCAGTTGGGCCGAATGGTCTGTTTCGGTGTTGCATATTTTATGTAATTCTATGTAACATGCCCGTTCCCTCCGCTCACCGGCTCTGGCCTGCTCCACGTCCCCCGACCCACCCGCCCCACCATTGGCGGGAGAGAATCCCCCAGTCACTCCGCCTCGCCCCCTCCTTAGCTCTTTCAAGTCCCGCCTCAAGACCCTCTTACCCCCCCCAACCCCAGCTCAGGTCTGAAATGCTGTACTCTGTCCAGCACCTTGGGACATCCTTCCAACGTGAAAGGCCCTGATACAAATGTAATCTTGTTGTTGTTGTTGTTGATGTAGCGCCCTTTAACTGACACTCCCCCCCCCCCCCCCCCCCACACACACACACACTTGAATTTCACGGTCAATAAATATAAGAATTATTATTATTATCAGTTATTATTATTATTATTACGTTAATTTATAATTTTTTGGGTTCGATTGTGCCCTGATAGGTCCCGCGGGTGATCAGTAGGTAATGACTCCCACCCCCCACACCCACCCACCCCCCCATCCCCACCCCCCATCCCGTAAACAGCACTTGGCTTCTACAACAAACAAACAAACAAACAAACAACAACAACCACTTGCAGGTATACAGCGCCCTTCACACAGGGTAGAGTGTCGCAACGTTTGGCAGAAGGGAGCTGGCTTGAATCCGGGCACTTAGCCAAGGGAGCACATCTCATTCAGGTTTACAATGACCTCAGCGTCTCTTGTGTGCAATGCAATCAGTCGGATTTCCTGCCCCAGGTCTCCTCACTGTGATTCCTAGTAAATCGCTGAGTAACCAACAACAAGAACAATTGACGTTTACCACAGAATTACCCCTCAGGCAGCAATCACAGGGAGACGAAGGAAGCATCCTGTAGACTGACTGTGCTGGGAAAACCAAACTACACGGTTTTCACAAAAGATGCAAGCTCTGGCATGCAGGTAATGTAGGCTGCAAAGGTTTGCGTAACTGTCTGTGCGCATATGTTGTGCCATATTGCCTGTTGGCGGGAGCATTTCCTACAGTTCTGATACCTTGCGTGCACGACTTGCTTGATTTCATAGAATCACAGAATCTTACAGCACAGAAGGAGACCATTCGGCCCATCGAGCCTGTGCCGGCTCTTTGAAAAGAGGTATCCAACTTGTCCCACTCCTCCGCTCTTACTCTACAACCTTGAAAATGTTTCCTTTTTAAGGAAAAGTTCCAAATCCCTTTTGAAAGCTACTATTGAATCTATTTCCACCAGCCTGCCAGGCAGTTCATTCCTGATCGTAACAACTCTCTGCATCAAAAAAATTCTCCTGGTCTCCCCTCTGGTTCTTTTGATAATTAGCTTAAATCTATTCTTCTCTGGTTACCGACCCAACCACCAGAGGAAATAGTTTCTCACTATCTTCTCTATCAAATCCCCTCATAATTTTGAACACCTCTATTAAATCTCTCCTCAACCTTCTCTGCTCTAAGAACAATCCAGGATTTCTTCCTCTTACTGTTTTCTCCTAAAAGCCCCTTTAGCCATGTGTTTGATCAACATCCACACGCGCACACATACACACACACACACACACACCTCACCTCTTCTCCCTGTGCTCAGGGATCCACGCCTTTTCTGTGAAGCACTTTATGACATTGCTCTATAATCAGTAGTGGCCAACCTTTTCGGTCGGCCAACAAAACAAATTTTTCTGATTGAATATTTTTAAAATAATGCTATAAAATCAAGAAATATTCAATCAAAAAAACCTAAAAACGCACTGATAATTGAACACGCACTTACCTAGACTCTTGAGAATGTTTAGGGGGGGGGGGGGGCACATACGGCCCGTGGCCCACATGTTGGCCACAACTGAATTAAACCAAAGACCCGCCTGCCTGGTATAATATTACTTGCATTTGATAGAGCGCCTTATCACGTCATTGAGACGTCTCAAAGCGCTTCACAGAATATATTGTGAAGTGTATTGACTGTATATTTTGTGAAACTCAGCAGCCGGTTGTGCACAGTAGTGTCCCACACACAGTCATGGAGGGACTGACCAATTTTATTTGGGGGATTGTTGGCCAGGACATCGGGAAAGAGAAACTCCTTTCTCTTTTTGAATAGCGCCGTGGGATCCTTAACATCCACCTGGACAGGCAGATGGGACGTTGGTTTAACATCTCATCTGAAAGACGGCACCTCGGTCAATGCAACACCCACCCCAGCACAGCATTGGAGCATCAGCTTAGACAATGTGATTCCAAGTGGCGACGTAGGGCTTAAACCCACAACCTTTTGACTCAGAAGTGAGAGTGAAGGCTAGCACTACACCAGGCTAACCAACGGTATGGTGATGTACACTGATTGCAGTGAATAAGCTCCTGAGGCATGAGCCTCTGCTAAGAGGCACTTTACACAGTCAGCTCTGGCAGCCTCACTGATAACTTGGCAGCTTTAGGGCTCAGGCAGCAGCTCACTTTACACACTCACAACTACATCTACAGGACTGAGACTGCAAGTGAAAGCGCTTCACAGAATATACTGTCAAATGAATTGACTGTATATTTTGTGGGTGAAACGCGGCAGCCAATTGCTCACAGCAGTGTCCCACAAACAGTCATTGATTGATTGATCACATAATTTTTTTGGTTGCGATTATTACTCCCGGAAAACGATCCACCAATTGACTAACAACGGATTTCTACTTACTGCTAGGTAAACAGGGATGTGGAGTAAGGAAACTTGCCTAAGGTCTCGTCCTGCCTGGGAATCAAACCGAGGACCTCTCGTTTGTGAACAATACACTGCAGGACTCCATGTACATGGACCCCAACTCCTGTTGCTTTGAAAGACTGACCCCTGTTTGATTTTTGTTCTTAAAAGTTTTGTGGCTGTTAAACAGGGAAGAATTTGCTTCCAATGTGCAATGTGGTATCAGATCATGAAGCAACACATAAAGCGAGCCTAGAGTTTAACATTTGGAACTGACTGAAATAAGATGCAGATTCTCAACCATCTGCCTTCAGCAATAACCCACGATACATCGTAGAGAGATCAACTGGGCTGGTCAACATTACAAGAGCAATAATGTTTGACAGAGAGAGAGAATAACAGCAGAGGTGGGTACGTGTCAGCCTGGCTCAGAGGTAGCCCTCTTGCCTCTGAGTCAGAAGGTTGTGAGTTCAATCCCCACGTGGGGACTCGGAATCATGTAGGCTAAGCTGACACTCCAGTGCAGTGCTGGGGGATGTGTTGTATTGTCGAGGTGCCATCCTTTGGATCAGTTGTTAAACCAAGGTCCTGTCTGTCTATTCAGGTGGACATTAAAGATCCCATGACACTATTCAAAAAGAGAAGGAGGTTTCTCCTGGTGTCCTGGACAACAATCCCACAAATAAAATTGGTCATTCACTCCATGACCACTGCTGCAGTTCACTCACAAAATACACAGTCACTGCACTTTACAGTATATCATGTAAACACTTTGAACTGTCCTGATGACATGACGCAAAGATTATTATTATTAACTGGGAATAATCTATCACTCTCTAACTTTCCAAAACCTTTCAGATCTCACAATAGATAGGTTTCAGGGCTTAAGTAACTTTAATGGGCGAACCTCCATCTCTGTCTGCTGAGTATTATAGACCATTTAAACGCTATAGTAATACTGCAGCAATAATAATAATCTTTGATGAGACGTCTCAAAGCACTTCACAGAATATACTGTAAAGTGAATTGACTTCATTCTAATAATAATAATAATATTGTGGATGAAATGCATGAAGTTTTAAGAATGAGACGTCTGTTTGGAAAAAAAAACCTACTGTTACATTTTAAAATAGATTCCCTTCCCCTCTCCAAAGCAAACTGGGAGCAAAAATCACAACTGATTTTGCTCCCAGATGAAACAGCTTGCACTTTGGAGAGTTAATTGTCTGTGTTGCAAAACATCCTCCTTACCAATGATGTTGGGGGTGGAATAACTGAGGTTCCGCCTCAAATGCATTGAAACTGAGCACAAAGTCAGGCTCCACAAGACACACAACAGTGGGCAGAAGGCGAGTTACACACACTTGATTGCTGCTGTGTGTGTGTGTGTGTGTGTATACTGTGAGCTTCTCCCTCCCTCCCTCCCCACACACTCTCTCTCTCTCTCTGTGCAGACAGGGATTATTGCAGATCTGCTGTATGATGGCTGTGGACGAGGTGGGGGGATGTCACCCCTTCAGGCTGGTGGCTCTGCTCTGTGTGTTTGTGTCCCTGTGCCTGGGGGCTGCTGCAGTTTTCAGTCCATCCTGGGTCACTGCTGACAACTTCTCCCAATCCCTGTGGGACTCCTGCAGCCAAACCCAGGGAGATTGGCTCTGTGACCCCGACTTGCAGAGAGGTAAGTCAAGAGAGAGGTGGGTTTTTATTACACACACACACACACATTATAATATTGGTCATTTGAACCTCATAGTAATACTGCAGTAGTTATATATATATGTGTGTGTGTAAACTGTAAAATCTCTTCCATTCCTACAACCTTTCACTTATTCTAAGGGGAGAAAGAGGGTTTGATGAAGTCCTCACTCATGATTAAGAAGACAGCTGTTTTTTCTCCACACTGTCTTTTGAGTTGAAGCTGAAACTACTTTGCTGGGAGTTTGATTGTGAAATTTCAGAAAGTTGAAATCATCTGCATCGAGGTTGTCCCGTTGGATGCTGATTGCTTTGGGGGATGTGTGTGTGTGGGTGGATAGTGAGATGGACGTTTGTTGATTTATGTTTTAATAAATTCTTTTATATTGCAAGTGGACCTAACGTGGGCTCAGTGAGTGTGAAAGCCTCTTTGTTACGAAGTGTTGGCACTGGAGAGCACAGCCCTCCTTGTGAAGTAGAACCCAGTAAAATATATCGTTTAAAAATAAACCTGAAAACATCTTTTTTTTTATTTTAAAAACTCAACAGAGCCTTCCTCCCCCCCTCCCCCCCCGGAAAAATAAAACTGGTTCCCTTTTTTCAGAGAGAATACCAGTAATTGATACAAACTTCACAAATCTTTTTCAATTCTACTCTGTCCCATGTAATAATAAGTGAAATCATTGAAAATATTGAAATAATAGTAATAATACTTTATTGTTTAAATGTACTTTTGATGCTTTTTTAAAAAAAAGACGGTAAAGTGGAGTTCCCCCACGTCTTAGATTTAGAAAATAAAGGCATTGGCTGGTGGTAGAGCAAACCACTGCTCAGCCCTTGTGGTGGTGGGGAGGGTTGGGAGTTTTTTAGTCAGTCAAGGTGTCAGGTATCCCGGCTACACATGGAAATCCCAGAGATAGATTGTTGGAATGTAATGTGTGTTCTCTCCCTGGAGAGAAGCATCCCGCTCACATAATTCCGGAGAGTATTAGGTGCAGGTCGGCAAGAGCCAAGGCTTGGGAACCCCAAAGTGTGCGTTGGGGTAATTGCTGGAGTCTAACCAGCTCAAACTGCACAGTTTGCCGTTGATATTGCTGTCTGGCAAGCTTTCCCGCTGCTTGTCCAGCTAGGACCACCCTACCGATTAGGGCTTCAGGGTTAACAGGAGCTGAGTGGGATGATTCCCTGCCCCCAGTGCCTTGTTGGTCCTGCCAGTGAGCAAGGCTCGGCTTTGCCTTCATCATCAGTGCCCTGGAATACTGCGGACCCGTCTGGCTCAGGAACGAGACTGCCACAGAGGGCTGGCTCAAATCCGATATTCCATTACCAAGCACGTCACCTTAAAGCCAGTTCAGCTCAATGGAGACACCCCAACCCCCGGAGGATTTCTTCAAGCGAGGACATGAATGAAAGGAGATGGAGCTTGCTGGGAGGGAGTGTGTGAGGGAATGAGTGAGGGCTTTCTGTGAGAGCGGTGGTGAGTGAGGAAGAACTTGCTGTGATGGAGAGAGGGAGTGAGAGCCTGCTGTGAGAGGAACTGTTTGCCAGCGCCATATGCTAACGGCCACACGCTGTTCTCTTGTTGCCCTTAAAATCAGAACAGCTGTAAATTCTTCCCCAACGTGACAGCTGCTGTGAACATCATGTGATCCATGAATGAGCTTCACCTGTCTCTGTGTGTCTCCTCCCCACATCCCTGCTGAAGCTTTTGCCCCAATCACAAAAACATGCACAGAGAGCGTACAATAACATCTCACAGCACCTCACCGACAGTGTGGAGCCCCGGGCGAGTTGGGGTGGAGATGGGGAAGTTGACACGGTTGGAGATGGGAATTGAGGAGGGGTTTGAAGGCAACGTGGAGGGAGAGCGAGAGAGAGAGAGAGGGTGTGAACTGAAAATTGCTGAGCATGAGGATTCTGTGGCTGAGAGTTCCTCGCTACCCTGATTTTTTCTTTGGGGGGCGGGGGTCACCTTGGTGTCTGACACACTCAGAAACCTATCACTGTGCATCTTTGGAATGGAATGTGCACTCTTGCATTCCCACAATCTATCTCTGGAAAATCCATGTGTAGGTGGGTTTCATGGAATTCTCAGTTTGGTTCGGAAACTCCTAAACATGGTGATGGGTTTCCGCATGTGTCAAGACACCCGCTGACCAAAGAAAAAGGGATCCAATCTTGCCTTTGTGTTGGCCAGATCCTCTGCACTCGCAAGGTGATTTGAGGCTCACATGTTGACAGCACAGCCCCAGATCACAACTGTAACCTGTAATAAAGGGAATCGCAGAGCAGGGTATAACCCCATTGAATAGATATACTTGCGTCTGCAGGGAAAGCACAGCAGAGTTCACTCTGGGGCGGGGATGCATGCTGCAGTTGTGTGGCCAGGGACTTTCACGATATTAACTGTAGGCATTGCAGCTTCCCTTGTGTGTCAGCCTGGATCAGTTGGCAGCACTCTTACCTCTGAGTCAGAATGTTGTGGATTCCAACATGTCGGGACTCAATGTCACAAAGTCTAAACCGATGCTGTAATGCAGTGCTGGGGAGTGTTTGAGATGCCGAACTTCAGATGAGACGATAAACTGAGATCCCATCTGTCTGTTCAGGCAGACCTCAAAGATCCCATGACACTATTCAAAAAGAGAAGGGAGTTTTTCTCTTCCAGTGTCCTGGCCAACAATCCCCCAAATAAAGTTGATCTCTTGCTCTATGGCTGTTTGTGGGACACTGCTGTGTGCTACTGGCTGCTGCATTTCAAGAACAAAATAAACAGTTGATTCACTTCACAGTCTATTCTGTGAAGCGCTTTGAGATGACTCAAAGACATGAGGAGCTATATGAAATGCAAGGATTATTATTACAACTACCTATTTCTCAATAAATCATATTTTATTACAAAAAACAATCCGGTCAACAGGGACAGCCTAGACTGAACACTGACAATCCAGAGTCAGTTTTTGTGGGGGGAGCTTTATTTTAAAGCCATTTTTCTTTTGCGACTTAAACAATTGTAATATTTTCCTTCCCATTCTTTAAAAAGAAAGCAGTGCATTTGTAAAGAGAGAACAATGCTGTGTATTAACTTGAGAAATCTATTATCAGGGGATGTTTCAGATTCCCAGGGCTCACTCAGAGACACAAAGACATTCCGGAGTTGATGATCTGTTGAGAAATGGGGAGGAAGGGCTGTGGCTGAGAGACCCTGGACTGTTGACAAAGGAGGGGGTTGGCTGCTTCAGCAGTGACCATGGAACCAGGCTCCGCATGTTCAGTCATCATAATCCAGCCAGAAGGATAAACTTTTATATAAAAAACTTTTGTGTTTTACTTGTACTAATTTTTAAAAAGTTTTTTTTGTTTTCTATGCTTTGGAGAAAAAATTACCCCCCCCCCCACGGCAGCCCCGTGTAAACCACTGTGTTAGTGGCTGTCAGTTGCTGGTTGACGTCATTTGTTGGCCATGTGGCCTGGACATGAGCCAGGAAACTTGTTACTTTACTATGTGGCTTCGCTGAGAGTGAGATGGTGGCAAAGGATCTGAAATTCTCCCTTCTGTTTTCCTCTCCTCCCCCACATACCAGACATCACTAACTATTATAATAATAATCCCCGCATTTGATGTAGCCCCAATCAACACTAATAACCAGGTTATAATAACTTACTGCTAGGTAAACAGGCATGTGGAGTGAGGAAACTTGCCTAAGATTTTGCCCTGCCTGAGAATCGAACCCAGGTCCTCTCGTTTGCGAGTCGAGTGCTCTAACCACTGCGCGACAGGACTCCCCATTCTACCACATTGGCAACTTGAACATCTTTCCGACGAGCTGCGTAGATGCCTCAAAAAAGCACAGTCTTCTCTGTATCCCACCGCCACCACGCCTTTCCTGTTCTTTTGGTCAGCAGCCGAGTGACTGACACATATGGAAACCCATCACCATGTTTAAAAGTATCCAAACCAGGCTGAGAATTCCACGCATCCCATCTACACATGGAAATCCCAGAGATAGATTGTTGGAATGGAATGCGCTCTCTCTCCCTGGAGGAAAGCATTCTGTTTACCTAATTCCGCAAAGTATTAGGTGCAGGTTGGCAAGACCCAAGGCTACTTTAGGGTAACTGCTGAAGTCTAATCAGCTAAAACCACATAGTGTGCCATTGATGTCACTGTCTAGCAATTTCCCACGCCTGTCCAGCTAGGACCACCCTATCTGTTAAGGCTTTGGCTTACAAGGTTAACAAGAGCTGAGTGGAATGACTCCCTGCCCTCAGTGACTGTTCTGCCCCTCCCAAGTCCTGCCGATGAGCCAAACTGGTTGTGCTGCCATCAGCAGTGCCCTGGAATACTGCAGACCTGCCTGGCCCAGGACCTGGACTACTGAGACTGCCACAGATGGCTGGCTCAATTCCAACATTCTGTTGGCAAGCATGTCACCATGGAGTCAGTTCAGCTCCATGGAGACCCTGCTTACCCCCCCCCCCCCCCCCAACTCCACACACACAAAAAGCGAGTGCTCCAGCCTATTGAGCTACAGGACATTGTTGGAGGTGCCGTCCTTCTGATGAGACTTTAAACTGAGGTCCTGTCTGCCTGTTCAGGTGGATGTTAAAGATCCCGTGGCACTAAAAAATGGGAGTTTCTCTCTCCAGGTGTCCTGGCCAACAAATCCCCCAAATAAAATTGGTCAGTCACTCCGTGGCTGTTTGTGGGACGCCGCTGTGGGCAAATCATCCGCCGTGTTTCGCCCACAAAACACAGTGATCAGCCATAAGGTGTCCTGTCCGTGGGAAGCTTTAGCAGAGTTGTTAATTGGTGTTCGCTGGGTCATTGTAACTGGGGTCACGATAGCCTTTTGACAACCAAATGATGGCCATCAACACTCCTTCCCCTCCCCCCCCCCCCCCCCCCCCCAACCTATGCTAACTGGTTTCTGGCTCTGCAGGGAGTGGAACCAATAACCCAGCATGTGGTTCCCCGCAAATGTATGTTTGTTATGCTAATGTATTGCAAACAGTGGCTGGGAGTGGGAAATGGGTTTAGGAGGAGTGGGGGTTCCACCACATTGTTATCTGGTGACCAAGGAAATGTGTCAGCTTTGGCTCAGTCTTGAGTTGCTCTCTGCATCAAGTCACGTCCTGGATGAGAGTTAACTTTCTTCAGTTGAACGTCAACAAGATCGAGGCTCTCCCTTCAGCGCCTCCTCACCTCAGGCGCTGACAGCATCACCATCCATGTTGCACACTCCACCTTACTAAGCCAGTCCAGAACCCTGGGATCTTGTTTTACCTTCAACTATCCTTTCTACCCCACATCTGTGCCATGACCCGCTCTGTCTTCCTCCACCTCCGCAATATCGCTCGGCTCCGACACTGTCTCACACCGCAGACCACCGAAACCCTCATACACGCCTTCATTACATTGAAACTCGACTATGCAAACTCACTGCTTGTCGGCCACCCCAACTCCTCCCTCCGCAGGCTGCAGATCATCCAGAACTCTGCAGTCCGTGTCCTCTCCCGCACTAGGCTCTGCGACCTTATCACCTCCATCCTCGTCCAACTCCACTGGCTTCCCATCATACAGGGTATACAGTTCAAGATCCTGATCCTCCCCTTCAAAACCCTCCATGGTTTTGCTCCCCCCCTACCTTTCCGACCTCCTAACCCCCTACCATCCTGTTTGCTCCCTCCGCTCAGGGGGCTCCGGCCTGCTTTACATCCCTCACCTTGCTCACCCTACTATCGATGGGCGGGCCTTCTGCCACCCTGCCTCTGGAACTCGATCCTACAGTCCCTCCGTCTCGCCCCCTCCCTCGCCACCTTCAAGACCCTCCTCTTCATCCGGGCTTTCAATCTCCCTGATTTTTTTCCCCACCCCAACCTTCAGCTCGGGTCCGTAACTCTGTCTGTCCAGCACCTCGGGACGTCGTCCCTCCCCACCTTCAAATCCCGCCTGAAGTCCTTTTTGATCATCACCTGCCCCCTCCCTCTTCCCCTGGCTCGGGGTCAGACTCCGGCACTGGGACGCTACCCAGTGAGAAGGGTGCTATAGTTGTTGTTGCATGCTGTAAAGTAATTGACTGTATTTCATGGGCGAAACGTGGCATGAATTACGCACAGCAGTGTCCCACAAACAGTCGTGGATGGAAGTGACCAGATTAACTCTTTCTTTCTCTCTCTCTCTCTCACACACACCACAGACTGGCAGTTGGCCACATTGGTGCTTCTGCTCACTGGAGGCTCCATCTCTCTCATCACGTTCCTGGTGGCTGTGGTCTTGCTTTGCCGGGGAGGACCCAAGAGGTTCTATAGAATCATTGCCATCATGCTCTTCATCTCAGGTGAGCGAAACTACATCTCAAGGAGTTCTGTGCTGCTGTTTATGGGGTGGGTGGCAGGTTGGCCGGGGGGGCGTGGGCAGTGGGGCACGGCTGAAGAGGACTGTCTTGAGACGTGCCTTGAAGGAGGCAAGGGAGGGAACGAGGCGAAGGGACTGTGGGATGGAGTTCCAATGAGTGGGGGCAGAGAGGCTGAATGTCCGACTACTGACGGCCACCCTCACTGACTGACTGATTGACTGAGCAGAATATGTGTCACTCACATTGACTGACTGAATAGAACGCCCACGACCCACACTGTACAGAATGTCTCACCCACACTTACTGTGACTGGACAGAACACCTGACACCCACACTGATCTGCTGTGTTTACTGCAGTGGTTCTGCAGGTTTGTGCTCTGGTTCTCTACCCCATCAAGTTCATCGACAGCATCAGGCTGACTGTTTACCACGAGTTCAGCTGGGGCTACGGCATTGGCTGGGGTTCCAGTATCTTCGCGCTGGGAGGAGCCGTGCTGTATTGCCTGAACACAGACGCCTACGAGGAAGATTACTATTAGCTCCCGTGGCCGGCCGGCAGCGGGGGACTGTGCACAGACTCCGTGGCCTATCGCTTGCTTGGTGTACTGTACTGACTGGATGGTGACTCGCTGCTATGCGAGTGAAGAGCAGGACTTTGGAGAGAAGGGAAATGAAGAGCAGCATCTCAGGGAGAGAGAGAGACGGACTCCTCTTGCGAGGGACACCGGACACGACAGTCAACAGTCAAACGGGCAACATCAAGGAGCTTATTGCGATGACCTGTAACTAGCCTCACACACAGCTGTTGATGAGAGTCACGGCAACATCCGGACAATGCTGGGGATTGGGATTTCAGAACTGAAAAGAGATTAATTGCAAATGTGTATTTTTAAAAAAAATTGATGCATTAAAATATTCCCGTCTGTATTGTTTTTAAACGTAGATGCGATTCTTCCCTTCAATCGAGGGGGTATTGTGGGAGCAATCTTTAAACACTCACTCATCATGGTGTTCTGTGTATTGACTGTATTTTGTGGCTGAAAAGTGATGTGCAAATGCGCACAGCAGTGTCCCATGAACAGTCGTGGATTGAGGGACCAAATTATTATTTGTTTTACATTTTAATTTTTTTAAAAAAATTCCAAAAAATTGAAAGACCGTAAGTGGGTGGGTTGGGACGCAAACGACATATGTCTGGTCGCAAATTTGCATGATGGATAACATGCCCATGACACAGGTTTGAAATATGTGGGTAATTCAAGCACTAGGAAGCCCTTTCTCTCAGATATATCTTTGCTCCCAACCTTTCCCCAGGAGCACTGCTTGTTAAATGTCAAATGATCATATGTATTTTTAACTTGGTGAATGGAACAAATGGTGTCTCAGGTGTCACCGAAATGCGGCAGCCAATATTCTGTGAAGCGCTTTGGGACGTCCTCCCGACGTGAAAAGCGCTATATCACATGCAAGGATTATTATTATTAAGGTATCGCCCTGTCAGGAATCGAACCCAGATCTCTTGCTTGCGTGCAGAGTGCTCTAATCACTGAGCTATAGGACTACATTAGATGTCTAAATAGCAGCATTGAAAGTCATGTTAACCACCAGCATTGCCACTTAGATATTCTGTGTACTCTAAAACAAAAACAGAGAGAGCTGGGAAGGGTCGTGGACCCGAAACGTTGACTCACTTTCCTTTCTCCATAGATGCTGCCTGACCTGCTGAGTTTTCCCGGCTCTCTCCGTTTTTGTTTCAGATTCCAGCATCTGCAGTATTTTGTGTTTTGTTTTGTGTATTCTACTTTGTTTTTGAATAATATTGTGCTGCGTTATAGGCAGCACGTAATGACATCAAGGCATTTGCGCATACCTGAGCCCCCACAGGAAGCTTTTATTGGCACTTCCGCTGCCAAAGGAAAACAAGCTTGGAGCAAGGCAAAGGATTTCAGGCACATGTCCCAACGTCAGCTCCCAAACATTTCAGTGATCGGATTTTGGGAGAAGATCCCCAAAAAGCTGTGATGGCCCGCACGAGTCTGCTGCTTATCCCTGATCCCCTCTTCTCCACAATTGGTGGCCGTGCTTTCAGCTATTGTGTCCTGAATATCTGGAACACCTTGTCTCAATCCATTTCTGCGCATCTTCAAATCACACCTGAAGACTTACCTCTTCAACTGTGCCTTCTGCCGCCTTGTCCACTCCCCCACCCCCACTGTGAAGGAGGAAGCTGTATAATTGCAAGTTGTTGCTGATTCGCAACTGCATGAATATGAATGTATAAAGGTGACACTTACACAATACCATTATAACCTCCGTGGGAACATCACGTCCCTCAGGCAACCTGTGGAGGTCTCAGCTTTCAATAGTCCAATGTGACAGGATTAATCCTGAAGGCAGAGGAGGCGGCTCACGTTTCCGGGGAAGCATGCTTCTCTTCTTTGAAATGATGTTAATTTTCTTTGCTCCCCCTCTTCCAAAGATGTTTGACTGCTTCCTTCTTTCATTGCGGTACTGGGTTCACATAGCAAGAAGAATCCTTGCATTTGCCTTCAATGTCCACCTGAAGAGGCAGACATGACCTCAATTTAAAGTCTCATCCGAAGGTCCACCCGTGGACCCAGTCCTTAACAGTACAGCACCTCGCCATCTTCTCATGAAAGCCTAGGCAGGCTGCGTTCAACCTCAAAAGGTCAACATATCTGACTTTGATGCTGCCCCATCCCAGGAAGTGAATAGTAATAAAGCAGGAATCCGTGTCCGAGAGTGTGGAGCCCAAACTGAAGCATTTTGTTAGGTCAGGGGATCAAGGGATATGGAACAAAGCCAGGTAAATTTGCTCTGGGATGCTACCTTGCATGAAGGGCACTATATGAATGCAAGTTGTTGTTGTCCATGGAGTTGTGATATAGATCAGCCATGATCTAATAGAATGGCAGAACAGGCTTGAGGGGTCCTCCGCCTGTTCCTATCGTCCCCAACTGAGATTCGCTGACACAGCACAGAGCAGGATCAGACTCTGCAACTTTCTAGTCTGTAATGGCACAAAGGTGCTGGACTGCATGGCAGTGTCCTTAAACAAATGTCTATCGGGTGAACTTGCAGTGACACGTTATATTCGATTTCTCATTCCAGCTCCCCCCACCATACCACGAGCAGCAATACACACAATAATTCATAACAATCCTTGCTTTGATTTGGTATAGCACCTTATCACATTGTCAAGATGTCTCAGAGTGTTTCGGAGGATATACAGTAAAGTGGTGACTGCGTGTATTGCGGGTGAACAAAAGAAAATTCACTAATGAAAAGCATCCTTTGGAGTTTGCAACACTGGAATGCAAATTCTATTTCATTTTTATTTCAACAGAATAAATCAAAAGCAATCAAAAAAAAGCCCAGTACTTAGCCTCGGTTGTGTTTTCAGACAGACAGCCGTGGAAACCCATCACCATGTTTATGAGTATCCAAACCAAACTACTGCAGTCCATATGAATGGAAAGTGTACTTGTATGGTGTGACGTTCACACCACACCACCCCAGGGAAACTCCTTATTCATCTAATCTCAGAGAAATGAAGTGAAGGTTTCCAAGATGTTACATTTCTAGTGTCTTGAAGTTAATTTATTTATTAAAGGCAGTGAGCGTGGGGAGTGGCATTCCCTAGAAAATTAAACAGCGGAGTTTCTAATCTCAGCAGTTCTGCTCTGAGACGATACACTGCGTGGAGGGCACTATATAAATGCAAGTTGTTGTTGTCCACCGTGAGAGCAAAGGTCGATCCCCGCGTGCTTCTGGCAACGAGTCATAACAAGAGCCTTGAGGTGAGGAAAGGGAGAGAGAGAGAGAAAAGAGGAGCTCATACAGTAAACAATGTAAATTACTTTATGAGTTGGGCTGTAAACATTAACGTGCGTTACTTTCTTCCTTCCACCATGATAATGTGATAGCCAAACTTGGTTTTGACTGGAGGATCCGTGTAGACGGGTTTGTCTGTTGTGCTGTTCGGCAAAGCAAATGCAGCCTCTTGGAAAGGTCCCACCATTGAACCTCTGGTCATCCAGCCTAGATCCCCCTAAGGAGAACACAACAAATAGGGGTCAACTTTTACATTGTTTGAACAGAGCGGTAGAGGGGAGGGCTTTTGCATAGCAAAAGCCAATATGTATAATTCAGCTGATCATGAAGCAGGATTTTACCCAAATATATCTTATTAATTGATATGTTTAATATGTCAAAAGTTCATATGTCGTATCGGCAAAGGAACCAGAGGGGATTGGAGGAGATTTCTTTTTTATCCAAAGAGTTGTTGCGACCTGGCTGAAAGTCTGGGGAAAGCAGATTTTGCTAGTAACTTTCAAAAAGGAATTGGAATAGGTATTTGAAAAGGAAACATTTGCAGGGCTATGCGGTAAGAGCGAGGGAGTGGGGCTCGTTGGTAGCTCTTTCAAAGAGCACAGGCACGAGGGGCCGAATGGCCTCCTTCTGTAAAATTCTCTGACAAATCTGCGGTCCAGTACTCACTCCTTGTCTGGCTTTGTCCTCACTGTACTGAGTGGCCACTTCATTGAACTTCATGCCAGATTTCAGCTTCTCCATAGCCTCCATGGCTTTACTGTGTTTTTCGCAGAGAATGTGTCTCACCTGCAGTACACAACAAGAACAGAGTATGTTTATACCGGGACTTTCTCAGATCAAAACAGCTCAATGCACTTCATGAAATACAATTAACTGAAAATGAATTGAAAGATGTTACAAGGACAAACACAGTGGTAAATTTGCACCAACCACATCTTACAAACAGGCATGACAAGCAAGTAAACACATTTGGGATGAAAGCCAAAATAAATCAAGTTTCTTTGAAATATTGATGGGAACAGGAAGGCAACCATCCACTTGAAACCACAAGGCGGAAGAAACTTAACTTAAAAGACTCAATCAAATCAAGGGATGATGATCTGGAACACTGTTGATGACAGGCCAGCCAGCTTTCCAGTCACTGGGAGCAGGGATTCTTCCTGCTCAGCTCCTGTTAACCCTGCAAGTCAAAGTCCTAATGAATAAGGTGGTCCAAACTGGACAATCAGTGGGATGTTTGCCAGGCAGTGCCCTTATTGGCAAATTATGCGGTTTCAGCTGGTTAGGTTCCGGCAGTTATCCCCTATATATACTCAACAACAACATAGCGCCCCTCGGGCGGGGTAGCGTCTCGGAGCACTTGTCCGGGGTCCCCCAGCTTCTGGGGTCCCTCTCACCAACAGGATCTAATGCTCTCCAGAATTCCAGTAAACAGAATGCATCCCTCCAACAACAAATTGCAGTTACACAGTGTCTTTCACATGTCCAGGTGGAAGGTGCCAATTCTATTGAAGAAATAGGTAAATTTCCATGGAGCACGGCTAAAAGACACCAGTCTAATTAAACAAAAAATTGGAAATAAATGAACAATAAATCATTTTTGATGCAGAATGTGGGATGTTAGAGCCAATAGAATCATTAGAGAATGTCCGTAATTTTATATGGCGACTTACTAAAAATATTTACAGTCAGGGGTACATTTAATCATTGCAAACAGCACTTGAGCTCTCAGCAAAACATTCAGGTTCATAAGTTCCAGCTTCTGTGTTGCAATATAAGCAGTTAAGAGCAAGAGCAAGGAGCAGCAGGGAGGAACATTTTCATGACAACAATGAAAGATCAGAACAAACTTCTCTTTGTATGAAACTCTTTAAACTCTCGAATTAGATTCCAGCCCGTGACCCATCTGCACATTCATTATATTTGTAAAACAAACATCCGAGTCCCTTGAACCAATTCTGGCCAGCAGCACACTCCCAGCACGCAGGAGATGGTTAAACTGCTGTGCGCAATTAGCTGCCATGTTTCACCCACAAAATGCACAGTGAATCTACAGTATAGTCTGTGAAGCTCTTTCAGACATCGCAGCAACGTGATGTGACACTATATTATATCCAAGGATTATTATTATTTAAATCGCTCTGAGGATCATAGTATAGTAGAACAGCGATAGTACAGAAAACATGAGCGACTACAACAACAACTTGTACTTATATAGCGCCCTCCGTGCAGGATAGCATCTCAGAGCGCTCATAATAGGACTAATAATAATAATCCTTGCATTTGATATATTATGGTCAATGTGCCAAAAGCTGATCAGCAATGTACTAGTCAGCTTTTGAGAAATGCTTTATCCAGGGGTAACCACAGATAAAATAAAACTTTAGATTCTCTCCTCCTCTCCCTCCCCTTTGTGTAACTCCTACAGGTTTGGTGGCAGAGGTCCAACTTCAAGGCCTGCGGAAATCCTCTTTCTGAGGCCAGCTAGAGGAGCTTCACCATGAAGACTCTGGTTACAACTGAACCTTCACTATATGGGAAAGGCTCAAACGGAACTGTAATTGTAACTGTAACAAATGTGGCAGTTGTGACTGGCATCTCCTCTGTTTAGCACTTGCACAACATTTTCACTCAAGAGAGTTGTTGAGTTGTGGAACACTGTGCCAAACAAGGTCCGCTGTGGGTTTCAAGTGGAGGGTTTTTGGTCAGCCCGGTGTCTGACACATGCAGAAACCCATCATCGTGCTTAACAGTATCCAAACCAAGCTGAGGTTTCCATGCGTCCCATCTACACATGGAAATTCCAGAGATAGACTGTTGGAATGGAATGCGTACTCTCTCCCTGGAGGGATGCATCCTGCTTACCTAATTCCGGAAATAGTCACAGATTGGCAAGAGCCAAGGCTTGGGGATCCCAGAGTGTATGTTGGGGTAACTGCTGGAGTCTAACCAGCTGAAACCACATAACTTTCTATTGATATTGATGTCCAGCAAGCTTTCCCATTGCCTGTACAACTAAGAGCACTCTACCCATTAGGGCTTTGGCTTGCAGGGTTAACATGAGCTGAGTGGGAATGGTAGACAGATACATGAGAGAGAATAGGGTTAAGGCAAAACACTGAACAGCTTGCTCTGAGCGGCGTTGCAGACTTGATGGACTGAATGCCCTCCTTTTGTGCTGTAAATTTCTATGATTTAATGCAAGCGGGGCAGCTCAGAATTCTTACAATGCTGTGTTAACCAATTGAATCCTCCAACAATAATAATAAATATTAAATAACATTAACAGTTCATAGACAGGAGCTTAACTCTCACCTTCACCGCATTTCCCCCTTTTGGAGTTTGGGATTTCTTACCCGCTTCATCACCTCCGGCTGCACCACCTTAGATAAGACAAACCATGTTAGAAGTTTTCTCGTTTTGAACAGCACAGGCACCAGTAAATCACTGAACATAGATGAGGAGTGGGGGTGGGGGGGGAGGAGTCAATGGTGACTCAATTCACCAAAGCTATAATAATAATTAACCCCCTGCCCTCCACTCTCCCCGATCCCGACCCCCAACTTGGGTCCGAATCTTTGTTTATCCAGTGCCTTGGGACATTGTCCCGACGTGAAAGACGGCATACAAATGTAATGTTGTTGTTGTTGATTGTCCTGGAGGAAGAACAGGCCTCTGCACACTGGAGCATTTTCAAACCGGCTCAATGATATACAATAATAATCCTTGCATTCGATATAGCATCTTATCATGTCTTTGAGACATCTCAAAGCTCTTCACAGGATATACTGTAAAGAGAATTGCCTGTATTTTGTGGGGGTGAATCGTGGCAGCCAACTGCACACAGTAGTGTCCACAAACAGTCACAGATTGAGTGACCAAATCAAACTAAGGTCCTCTCACTTGCAAGGCGAGCACTCTTAACCAATATTCTACAGGACACCAAAGGCTATATTCATTAAGCAATTCTGTTGGATCCTGGTGTAGTGACTATAAACCAGTGAATATAAATCCATCCCAATAAACATCAATGGAAATTCCATATATGTGGGGGGAGAGGGGGGGGGGGGGGGGGGTGGAAACACACATACATGGAACTCTTGGTTTGGATACTCTTGATAAATTTCCATGTGTCCATGAACCAGTTTCTCCATTTCCCCATTTTGTTTCAGCAAAACTGACTGTTGTCTTGGCTTTGTGATAAACTTTACTGCTTCTGGTATATCAAAGCTCGTAGTCCCCTCTCCTCTTGGACCCTGCTCTCATGATAGTGGTATCTCACATACTGAATATACAGGATCAGGCTAGTACCACAAGACAAGTGGTCATGTGAGAGCATGGTTGGGGCAAATGGTGAGTTCTTTAATCATGAAACAAGTCAAGCTCAAAATCCACACACATGCACTTCTAGCAAGAATTGTTGAATAGTCCATAGCAGCAGAAACTAGTGCTGATTAGTCAGAGGTGCCGTTCTTTGGCTATGTTAAACCAAGGTCCCATATGCCTGTTCCAATGGATATTAAAGATCCCATGGCACTATTCAAAATGAGAGGGAAGTTCCTCTCTTGTCCTGGCCAATAATCCCCCAAATCAAATTGGTCACTCACTCCATCGCTGTTGGTGCAACGCTGCTGCATTTCACCCATAAAATACACAGTCAATCCATTTTACAGTATATCCTTTGAAGCGCTTTGAGCCGCCTCCACAACATGATAAGGCGCTATATCAAATGCCAGAATGATAATGATTATTAACTTATCACTGAAAAAGAACCATCCTCACCACTGTTTACTTTACACAACTTAACGTGTTACACAGCTTAATGATCTGCAAAAACCGAGAGTGCAATGGCAGCCCTGGACCTGCACTGTTCAGACAGACTCTGCACAGAGACAGAGGAACCACACAGACAGGCGATCCTCAGCGCCTATCCTCCTCACTTGCTCTCACTGTCTGGAGATGATGGCTGCCATCCTATCAGTGGGCTCAGGGCTCTCACACACCTTTCCCGCCGCCCTTAGCTCCCCCTTTGCCTCCTTTGCCTTTAGGAGGCATGTTCCCAGCCGCCAGCAAGGAAAGACCCACACTCTATAGGCGCCTGGACAGGTGCCTGCAGGAAACAAGCTGCCAGCTACGGAAAAATGCCGATAAGCTGACAACTACTGCAATAGGCATTGAGCACAACGACGCTCATTACGTCGCGGAATGTGCGCCGTGTAATAGCATCCGCATTTATTCGTGTGTGTTTGCCACCGAGGTCATGCCTCAACGTCATCATACAGCGTTGGAGGAGTAAAGGACCTCCCCCTCCCGCCCCACCGCCGGCGGTCTTCATGGCGACAGCGACGCTTTCATTGGCGATGGTGGTAAGTTATGAGCGCAAACTAGTGGGTGTCGTGTTGTTTTCTGGGCGCGGTGTCTGCAGTGGGGAGTGAGGGACAATTATTGTGCTGATTATTGAGGTTTTGAACGTTAAAGCCCTTCACGGTCTTGTTCCTCCCGCCCTCTGTGACCCGCTGAACCCTCACCAGCCTGTCCTCTCTGCAGGGCCTTCAGCCTTTCTTCCCCACCCCCTGGAACTCCACCCCGTAGACCCTGCGCCTCGCCCCCTCCTTTCCCTCCTTCAGTTCGCCCACAACCATCGGAGGTCGGGTTTTCAGTCACTACGCCCCAAACTCTGGAACACTCTCCTCAATCCGTCCGCCTCGTCCCCCTCTCTCCCCTCTTTCAAGTCTCTCTTGAAAACTTTCCTCTTCATCCGTGCTTACGGCCACCTCCCCCCCCCCCCCCAGGCCTGGAGTCAGGCTCCACCACTGTTAAGCGCGCTGAGACGCTGCCCTGTGTGGAGGGCTATGTAAGCACTATATAAGTTGTTGTTGTTCAAGGCCCATCTCAAAACTGTCCTCTTCAACCGTATCTTTGGCCATCTTCCTATCCCCAACCTCCTTGCCCCCCTCCACCCATCTTGATTCCAACCCCCAGCTCCGGAACAAACCCTTAAGTGTCCAATGTCTTGGTACACCTCCTGACATGAAAGGCACTGTAAAAATGCAATTTGTTGTGGTTTGTCAGTGCCTGTGTGTGTCTCTCTCTGTCTCTAAATCAGTTTGTGTGTATCGGCCATAAGGCTGGGGAAAGGCAGTCGTAGTGTTAGTCCCGCATGGGTGTGAGTGTCTGCAGCATTCCCCAGCTCTGCAAGAAAAATATTAGTCAGGGAGACTGCTTCCAATCACCATACAGTCAGCTCCACTGGAAGTAGATGTTTATGCACATTTTTGTTGACCTTGGCTCACTTTTGTCCTCACTTTCAAGGCCATCCATGGCCTTGCCCCCTCCTACCTCTCTGACCTGCTGACTCCCTACCAACCTGCCCGCTCCCTCCGTTCAGCAGGCTCCGGTCTGCTCCATGTCTCCCGCCTGACCCGCCCTATCATCAATGGCCAGGCTTTCAGCCTCTCTGCCCCACACTCTGGAATTCCATTCCACAGTCCCTTCACCTCGCTTCCTCCCTTGCCTCCTTCAAGGCCGGTCTCAAGACCTTCCTCGTGCCTTCAGTCGCCCTCCCACCTCTCTGCCTTCCCTCAACTCTTTCCCACCCCTCCCTCAAGCTCGAGTCCTGACCCCCGACTGTCCAGCTCCTTGGGATGACCTCCCGACGTGAAAGGTGCTCTATAAATGTAATTTTGTTGTTGTTGGCTGTGATTGCCCCTGGGCTTAACCTAAAATGAGTTACACATGTGCAGATGCTTGGAGCAAGGAAATAACAGTTTTATTGAGGATATTTAAACTTAATGGCAACATCGTGCATGGCACTTTTGGGACAGTAATTTGTTTTGGTAAGCCAGGAGAGACGCATCCTGCTTGCCTAATTCATATTTAGCACAGGTTGGCAAGAGCTAAAGTTCTTGAGGGATTATTATCAGGCGTTTGGAGTAAGGAAACTTGCCCAAGGTTTCACCCTGCTGGGATTTGAACCCAGGTCTCTCGCTTGCAAAGCGTGTGCTCTAACCGCTGAACTACAGGACTCAGGAGCTACAGGACATTGTTGGAGGTGCCATCCTTCTGATGAAACTTTAAACTGAGATCCCGTCTGCCTGTTCAGGTGGATGTTAAAGATCCTATGGCACTATTTGAAAAGAGAAGGGAGATTCTCTCTCCCAGTGTCCTGGCCAACAAATCCCCCAAATAAAATTGGTCACTCACTCCGTGGCTGTTTGTGGGACACTACTGTGTGCAAACTGGCTGCTGCATTTCTCACACAAAATACAGTCAATCCCCTTTACATTATATCCTTTGAGACGTCTCAACAACATGATAAAGCACTATATGCAGGATTATTATTATGTAATCTATGTTGTTAGCACCACCTATTGAACTTTAATATGTATTTGATTGAAAAATTATTCTGTTCCTCTTAGACATCCAAATGAAACTATACAGAATAAAGAGCGTAACAAGAATAAACTAATATCAATGAAGACTCCATTCAATAATAATAAATATTAATAATCCTTGATATAGGGCTTTATCATGTCTCAAAGCACTTCACAGAATATATTGTAAACATATTCAATATATATTCAAATAAAAATAGATTCAAGAATTAATTAATAGTCTTGTTTGGAAAGTGAGCATAGTTTAGCAGACAGTGGACTGAAATTAAGAGAGAGGGTTTCATCTTCTGCAATACCATTGGTGGATAAAGACCACTCAATGTTGTTCTCAGTCTTGGTCAAAGCAACCAGCAGTCTTCAGACTCATAATGCTGGTCTGTTGAGTTAACTCATCTCATCCAGCACATTGTTGGCTAGGACACTGGGTGAAACTCCTTCCCTTTTTGAATAGTGCTTTAACGCTGAACTGTTCAGGCAAATGGGACCTCAGTTTTAACGTGTCATCCAAAGGAATGTGCCTCCGATAATGCAGTGCACCCCTCCAGTGCACTGCATTGGAGAGTCAACTTTACTATGTGAGTTCAAGTCCCAATGTTGTGAGGACTTGAACGTACGACCTCACAGAGGCGAGAGTGCTACCAACTGAGCCAGGCGGACACACGTGGAAACGGAAATTTCTCAGTTTCTGGAATGAAATACTGCGAAGTATCTCCCCAAATAAAATTGGTCATTCGTTTCATAGTTGTTGGTGGGGCATTGCTGTGTGCCAAGAGGACTGGCTGCCCGTGTTCGCCCCACACACACGCACAGCCACCCCCATTTCGCAGTAAATCCCGCACAGTAAATCACTGCGTGAAACAGAAACGGGGAAGACAACAGGTGCTGCAATTCAGGTGAGCAGCCCCGGGGGGGGGGGGTGGGTGGGCGAGCAGCCCCGGGGGGGCGGGTGGGTGGGTGAGCAGCCCCGGGGGGGCGGGTGGGTGGGCGAGCAGCCCCGGGGGGTGGGTGAGTGGGCGGGTGAGCAGCCCCGGGGGGTGGGCGGGTGGGCGAGTAGCCCCGGGGGGGGTGGGTGAATGGGCGGGTGAGCAGCCCCGGGGGGCGGGTGGGTGGGTGGGTGAGCAGCCCCGGCGGGGCGGGTGCAGGTGCGGTGACGTCACGGGTTCTGGTGCACACACACACACAGCTCTCGGTCACGTCATCAGTCAGTGCCGGGGGCAGGAAGGCGGCTGTAACCGCTTCAGTGACATGTCAGTGACTGCCCGTTATTGCCGGTGTGTGTGTGTGTGCGGAGGTTTACCATCTGAGTTCCCAGAGGGAGTCCCCGCGGACCGTCACAGACCCCGGTAGGGCCTGAGAGCGTTGCCGGGACCCGGGGCGCCGGCGCCGCCTCCCGGGCCCAGCGGTCGGGCCCAGTCTGCAGCACAGCACCATTCACACCAACCGCCACACATCCCCGGGTTGTGCTGATCACTGACTGACTCGCCTTCGCTTTGTTTTTGCTGTGAAGTGCTTTGGGACATCCCCCACTGACACCAAAAGGCGCTTATACTAAATGTAAGGATTAGGATTAGATTCATTCGGCGTTGATATGGACCAATGTGTTGCTCACTTCGGGTTTGCTGCGATTTGTACTTCTTCAGAACTTAAGTATATTAACAATAAATGCTTTGACACTTCTCACTTTTCCTATAAATTAAGTCACTACACTTAACAGTAACAAACGTTTGAAGCACTTTGAGAAATGTTTGCTGATGGTTTGCATTTGATGTGGGGCTTTTCACATCTTCTACACGTCTCAAAGCGCTTCAAGGAATATGCTGTAAAGTGAATTGACTATATTTTGTGGGCATTTCATGATATCTGAAATGCAAGAATAATTGGTGTTGCCAACTTTGCTCCTTTTCCAACAGCTTCTGTAGTTGTTAAGTAGATTCTGCAAAGTAAATACTCTTGTCCTAACACTTACTACTTTGAATTAGAAACGTATCTTTTTGCATTTTTTTTATATATACTTTTTTTTATGTTGCAGTCTTATTCTTTGGTCACTGAAAATCTACTGATTCCTTACAAACTGGCTCGGAGTCCTCATCAATGTGATTGCGAGTGATGCCTGTACAGCATGATCTGGATTTGGAGGCGGAACTACTATATACAAGGAAGGCTTCTCCTTTGAAGAACATTCAAACATTTAATAACAGCTGTGAGATTTGGCCACCTGACTTTGCTTTCTGCCAGTGAATACCCTTCACTGGGGATTTTTTCTCAAAAGTATAACTGCTGGTTTATACTGTACTGTAACAAAATACACCCTCCAAAACAGAGCAGATTACAGCTGAAAGAAGACAAAATAAAAATTGGTGGGCGTGAAAATTCCTGTAAAAAAACAGTGTAGAACTAAGCATGCATTTCGTGCTCTGGGTTCTTGTGGGAATTGTTTTGAGGATTTGGAGCTGTCGCTCAGAGGACACAAACTTGAAAGACTGGCGGGGCAAACTGAAAACCATCCGGAATGGAATTCACAAGATCGACATGTACCTCAACGCAGCGCTGGATTTACTGGGCGGGGAAGAAGGGCTCTGCAAGTACAAATGCAGTGATGGTTAGTGAAATGCTCAGTAAAGTATGGATAGTTTTGTAAAGGGTAAGATCCTGATGTCTATTTTTTCCATAAACCATGCATATTGCTGTACTTACCTCTATTTTCCTCCCTAAAAGTGGTGACATAACTTTTTTCCTACTCTCGACACACTCCCATACTCAGACTTTATTCACCCTTCCCCACTCAATACACACAAGGAATCAATCGTGCTAACCTTTGGTTTGTAAACCCTGTTGCTAGAACAGATTGTACCTTTCCTAATGAGGTTTGATTCTTTAAATGGTGAAGTAACTCGTGAGATTGTACCCAATATAATAGAAACTTTTAGGAATGATTGAACCTGAATTGTGTAACAATGCGTGACTCAGTACTATGGACTATGAGCCTGTAAAAGTACTTGTGATTGCGTGAAGTGCTGATTCAGGCCTTGTCTTCAATAGTGCAGTTGCATTTTTAGCAAAAATAACAAATTTTCCTCGGCAAATTATGGGTGGAGGGGCTGTAATAAGACGTGGAACTGCTTATGACTCTCTTGTACTTTTCATCTTATTGTCAGCAGATTGCATCTTTTTTTAAATTGTTCAAAATATTCTGAATTCAAGATCCTCATCCTCACCTACAAGGCCATTCCCGGCCTTGCTCCCTCCTACCTTTCCGACCTACTATCCCCCTACTTACCTGCCCGTACCCTCCGTTCCTCTGGCTCCGGTCTGCTCCACGTCCCCCGCCCCAACCGCCCGACCATCGGTGGCCTTCAGCCTCTCAGCCCCGAGGCTCTGGAACCCCATCCCCCAGTGCCTTCGCCGCTTCCTCCCTTTCCTCCTTCAAGGCCGGTCTCAAGACCTTTCTCTTTGACCTTCAGCCTTCAGCTCCTCTCTTGACTCTACCCCTCCTCGCTCCCTCCCTTCCCTCCCCCTGACCATTTCCCCCCAATGCTCGGGTCCCGACCCAACTGTCCAGCGCCTTGGGACATCCTCCCGACGTGAAAGTTCCCCTCCAACTTCCACCCACCACCCACCCCTTCCCTCCCACACTCCCGACTCCTACCCATCCTCCCCTACACACCTTCGTACCCGTTTCCCCACCCTCTGTCACTGAACTCATCCTATCCCTAAAACCAACCACCTGCTCCCTTGACCCCATCCCCACTCCACTCCTTATCTCCCAGCTCCACTTTCTTGCCCCACATATCACTGACATCATCAACCTGTCCCTCTCCTCTGGCTCTGTCCCCATTCCATTAAAAACTGCCATCATCACGCCCACCCTGAAAAAACCCTCCCTTGATGCGTCGCAGCTATCAAGCTACCGGCCCATCTCCAACCTCCCCTTTCTCTCCAAGGTCTTGGAAAGAGTTGTCGCCTCCCAACTGCGCTCTTTCCTTTCCACCCATTCACTTTTCGAACCCCTTCAGTCAGGTTTCCGTGCTGCCCATAGCACAGAAACTGCCCTGGTCAAGGTCACCAATGATATCCTGACCATCTGTGACCAGGGCTCCCTCTGTCTCCTCGTCCTCCTCGACCTATCGGCAGCATTCGATACGGTCGACCACGCTATCCTACTCCACCGCTTGTCCTCCCACCTCAACCTTCAAGGCACTGTCCTTGAATGGTTTAGGTCGTACCTTTCTCACCGTCTTCACTTTGTCTCGACGAATGGCTTCTCCTCCACCCCCCGCACTGTCTCATGTGGTGTCCCTCAGGGCTCTGTCCTCGGTCCCCTCCTCTTCACCCTCTATATGCTCCCCCTGTGGTGACATCATCCGCAGACATGGAGTTAACTTCCACATGTATGCGGATGACACCCAACTCTACCTTTCCTCCTCTACTCTCAACTCCACGACCACCGATGTCCTGACAGCTGCCTGTCCGACATCGAGTCCTGGACGAGAGACAACTTTCTTCAGCTCAACGTGCGAAAAACCGAGGCCCTCCTGATTGGCTCACGTCAGCGCCTCCGCACCTCAGGCGCTGACACCATCAGCATCCAAGGCTGCACTCTCCACCTCTCAAAGCCAGTCAGGAACCTCGGCGTTTTGTTCGACCCTGAGCTGTCCTTTCTCCCTCACATCCGCACCACAACTGGCACCGCCTTCCATCACCTCCGGAACATCGCCAGACTACGGCACTACCTCACCCCTCACGCTGCTGAAACCCTGGTCCACGCCTTTGTCACCTCAAGGCTGGACTATGGGAACTCTCTCCTCGCCGGCCTTCCCGCCACCTCCCTCCACAAGCTGCAGGTCATTCAGAACTCTGCAGCTCGTGTACTGTCCCGCACCAGGCTTCGGGACCACATCACTCCCACCCTCGCTCGCCTCCACTGGCTCCCCATCCCCCAGAGGATTGATTTCAAGATCCTCATCCTCACCTACAAGGCCATTCACGGCCTTGCTCCCTCCTACCTCTCCAACCTACTATCCCCCTACCTACCTGCCCGTACCCTCCGTTCCTCTGGCTCCGGTCTGCTCCACGTCCCCCGCCCCAACCGCCCTACCATCGGTGGTCGGGCCTTCAGCCTCTCAGCCCCGAGGCTCTGGAACTCTATCCCCCAGTGCCTTCGCCTTGCTTCCTCCCTTTCCTCCTTCAAGGCCGGTCTCAAAACCTTTCTCTTTGACCGAGCCTTCAGCTCCCCTCTCGACTCTCTTCCCCCTCCTCGCTCCCTCCCTTCCCTCCCCTCACCCTGACCATTTCCCCCCTCCTTGCTCCCTCCCCTCACCCTGACCATTTCCCCCCTGCTCGGGTCATGACCCAACTGTGCAGCACTTTGGGACGTCCTCCTGATGTGAAAGGCGCTTTATAAATGGAATCTTGTTGTTGTTGTTGTTGTTGAAAGGCGCTCTATAAATGAAATCTTGTTGTTGTGTTGAAAGCAAGCCTTTGGCATGGTGGTATTTTGATGGATTGTCTTGCAGAAGACCTAACACCCCAAGTTAGTAGAATTCCTCATTTGGTGTTGTCAGTAGAATTATCATTATTACAGTTTGCCCACCAACTCCAGTTTGCTAATTACCATATCTATCAGAGGCATTATTATCCCCACTTTTCCCCTGCTCTCTACACACTCTCATACTCTTCTTCCCCTCACTCACCTTACAGACAGACAGGGAATCAAACCTGCTACCTTTGGTTTGTAAAACCTGTTGCTAGAACAGATTGTGCCCTTTCTTGAAGAGGCGCATGGTGGGTGGGGTGGTTACACGGGGTTACTATTAAGCTCTGGGCAGTTGAAATAGATTAGTTTTGTATTCTCACCAAGCTTCAGCTTTTTGTAGCTGCTTGGATGACAGCAATGCCCGTGATGAAGCGATCAAGTTCTGGGACGCCACCCTGTGTGAGCAGCATTATACAAGTTGTTGTTGATGACTCTCCAGGAAGCAGCTGGATTAGAGTTGCAGCATTAGACTCCTGGAGAGTCATCAACAACAACTTGTATAATGCTGCTCACACAGGGTGGCGTCCCCGAGCTTGATCGCTTCATCACGGACATTGCTGTCACCCAAGCAGCTACAGAGAACAGCGTTTTAGCAGCATTCTACAGTTTATGCAAGCTGTAGTATTTTGGAATTACAAAGCAGCAGCCAAATTGTCATAATGACCCAAGCAACCTTGACCAGTGTATTACAACTGTTCTATGTGTTTTAGATGTTTACTGTATTGTATAAAACACAGCACAGAAACAGCTTCGGTTAAAGTGACAAATTACATTTTGTCCATCTGTCCATCTAGGGCACCCTCTGCCTCCTTGTCTTCCTTGACCTCTCTGCTGTCTTCGATACCGTTGACCACTCTATCCTCCTTCACTGCCTCTCCTCTCACCTCAACTTTCATGGTTCTGTGCTTAAATGATTCAGATCTTACCTCTCATACCATCTCCACTTCATCTCCATAAAGGGCTTCTCCTCTAGCCCCTGCACTACCTCTGGCGGAGGTCCTCAGGACTCTGTCTTTGGTCCCCTCCATTTCAATATCTATGTGCTCCCTCTTGGTGACATCATCCGGAGACATGGGGTCAATTTCCACATGTATGAGGATGACATCCAATTCTACCTCTCTGCCTCCACCCTCGACTCCAGGACCACAGAATGTCTGTCAGACATCAAGTCCTGGATCAGAGCAAACTTTCTACAGTTAAACGTCAACAAAGACTGAGGACCTCCTGATTGACTACCGTCAACACATCAGGCACTGACAGTATCACCATCCAAGGATGCACACTCCACCTTACTAAGCCAGTCCAGAACTTTGGCATCTTGTTTGACTGTCGACTATCCTTTCTACCTCACATCCGTGCCATGTCCCGCTCTGCCTTCCCCCACCTCTACAATGTAGCCCCGCTCTGCCACTGTCTCACACCGCAGGCCACCGAGACCCTCATACATGCATTCATTACATCCAGGTTCAACTATACAAACTCCCTGCTTGTCGACTTCCCCAACTCCTCCCTCCATAGGCTACAGATCTTCCAGAACTTTGCAGCCGGTGTCCTCTCCCGTAACAGGTGCCGCGACTCTTATCACCCTGATCCTCGCCGACTCCACTGGCTTCCCATCACACAGAGGATACAGGTCAAGATCCTGGTCCTCACCTTGAAAGCCCTCCATGGCCTTGCTCCCCCCTACCTCTGCGACCTCCTAATCCCCTACCAACCTGCCCGCTCCCACCACTCACCAGGCTTCACGTTCCCCCGTCCCGCCCGCCCCACCGTTGGGCCTTCTGCCACTCTGCCCCCACCCTCTGGCACCCCTCTGGAACTCCATTCCGCAGTTCCTCTGCCTCGACCCCTCCCTTGCCTTGGTCAAGTCCTGTCTCAAGACCCTTCTTCGACTGTGCCTTTGGTCGCCCTCCTTCCCCCACCACCTCCACCCTTCCCGATCCTGACTTCCAGCTCGGGTCCAAAACACTGATTGTCCAGCGTCTTGGGACTTTTCCCAACTTGAAAGGCGCTATACAAATGTAATTTTGTTATTGTGTGTGTATATATACAAGGGAAGAGAATCTTCACCCTCCCCCACACCAAGTTTTTTTTGAAGTTGTGCGGGACAATTATATCGGGTGACCAAAAGGTAGATATCATGACATTTTGTCACCCCGTACAATACTATGGTTGTAAAACCTATTGCAAGAGTGCACAGTTTTACCTGACACATCAGTAGCGTGTAGATCACAGCATATATTGCGTTAGGGTTTGAGCCTGCCGGTTATCTTTAAGTTCTAACTAGCACAGTGATGAGGACGGTAAGTCCACCTTTCCTTCCCTTGCAACATAACACTGCTCCGAGGCAGTTTGTCTTTTGACCTAAACCAGTCCACACTCTGTGGACATTCTTCCAACTGACCCCAGTCCTTCCAGAGAATTTCCACTCTCAATACAGGTCCCAGCCCATTGGAGTTCGAGCGCACTATTTTGCGACTAAAATTAAAGTTGGAGTCCTGTAGCTCAGTGGTTAGAGCACTCGCTTTGCAAGTGAGAGACCTGAGTTCAATTCCAGGCAGAGGGCGAAACCTTGGGCAAGTTTCCTTACTCCACACAGAGCCTAATAATAATCCTCCAAAACAAAAAACAATAATAAATTGGTCATTTTCAATCTACGACTGTTTGTGGGACATTGCTGTGCGCAATTGGCTGCCGCGTTCGCCCACAAATATACAGTCAATTCACTTTACAGTGTGTTCTGTGAAGCGCTTTGGGACGTCCTCCCGACGTGAAAAGCGCTATATCAAATGCAAGGATTATTATTATTTGCTTCCAAAGAGAGAAAAGTCCCCACAAAGCTTTTTTACACTGAGTTTGGTCTTCACTGAGCTGCTGTGGGAAGGTTCAAGGTACATCACACAAAGAGGGAGGGACTATGTAAAGCTCTGTGTGGTGCAGCGAAACGTATGGTAGTGTTGTCTATCTGACACAAGATCATTAATTCTGTACAAGCCCTCCATGCCCGAGTCCTAACAGGTAGGGTGATCCTAGCAGCGGGCAGCTTGCCAGACATTGTGTTTAATAGAAAGCTATATGATTTTTAGTTGGTTCAACTCCCACAATACCCCTCTGGAATCCGCTAAGCCTTGGCCAAACTGCACCTAGTAATCCAGAATTAGATACGCAGGAAGTGACCCTCTGGGGAGAGAGTGCGCATTCCATCCCAGACACGGGAATTGCCATATGTAGGTGCTATGCATAGAACTCTGTCTGGTTTGGAAACTCTTTAAGCATAGTGACATGTTTCTGCTGACCAAAGAAGTTCAATACAAATTGAGTGGATTTTAATGCATTTGTTTTTCTTTGCAGGGTCCAAACCAGTTTCTCGGTACGGTTATAAGCCCCCTCCACCCAATGGATGTGGCTCTCCTATGTTTGGACTTCATGTAAGGAATGCTTTGGTCTTTTCAACCCTTGCCTGTTAATTAAACCATGGTAACAGTGACCTTTTGCTAGCCTCATAGCTGTGACTACAGAAATGTCCTTAAACATATGCATGGGTTGTGGGAATGCTATATAACTGATATAGCCTGGGTACTGGAAATGCATATATCTTTTGCAGATCAGTGGTCTTCCAGATGAGTACTCATTTCCTTTCAACAATCTGTCTCTGGAATCTCCATGTTTAGGTGGGATGGATTTTCCTCACAGAAAAAGGGGGACTGGAATCATAAAATTATACAGCATAGAAGGAGGCAATTCGGCCCATCGAGTCTTTTAAAAAGAGCTGTCCAAATCAATCCTGCTCCCCGCGCTCTCCCCATAGCCCTGCAAACCTGTCCTCCTCAACCAGAGGATAATAAGCCCAGCTGCTTTCAAGTATCTTAAAGCTGCCGGTTGCAAAATGGTATTGGTAGAGGGACCAAAGTCACAGTTAAAGATGAGGGTCTTCAGATGGGCCTTGAAGGAGGCAAGAGAGGGGAATTAGGCGGAGGGACTGTGGAATGGAGTCCCAAAGGGTGGGGAAAAGAATTTAAGACTAATTAAATGAGCGGTGTAACAAGGGATTGGAAAAACATATTGCAATGTAACCCTTTCCTCCTATCTCTGACATTTTCTTAAACAAAATATTAACTCGAACCATACACATTTTTTTAATGTATAAAATATGGCCAGGTATTTTATACTTGTGGCTATTTGACATCACCCACACACTTTATAATCCCATAAAATAATTAGCTGTGAATCATACTCTCTGATTTCAGTGATTCCTGCAGATAAATAATACTTGCATTTGATTTAATATTTTAAGAATATAGTCTTGGATAACAACAGGAATATGTAGCTTATATATTTATGTAAAAGAAACTTCCTGAAATGCTGTACAGAATGAGGTTAATATGTGTCATTATCTTTTCTTATTAAACAGTTGGATGTGGGAATCCCTTCAATGACAAAATGCTGCAACCAGCATGATCGTTGTTACGATACCTGTGGCAATACGAAACAGGACTGCGACGAGCAGTTTCAATACTGCCTGTCTGTAATCTGCAGAAACGTGCAGAAAACATTAGGAATAGATGCTACTGTACAAGGTAAGCACAAGGTTTGGGCAGCACACTGTGTACTCGTCTGGGCTACTGCACCCAGCACAGTTGATGTTAGGTGTTGGAGCATCAATATGCAAAGTCATGCAATGGTGAATCTCAATCTGTGAATTTCCTGATGTCTGATAGGATTTATTCCCCACCAGTATTGACCTCTAGCACTTGGATTAAGCACTAGAAGCATAACAGACCCTATTTAAAGAGTTGGTAAAAGGAGACTTACACAGGTCCTATGTGGGAGATCCAAACCTGGTTTTCAATGATGTTTCAGAGGAGGAAGATTAAGATTGAATGTACTTTATTCCTAAATAAAGGTTAGAAGAACCTGTGGTTGAAGTAAATAGCATCAACAGATTTAAGAGAAAATGTGATGCACATACGAGAGGAAAGGAATAGAAAGGTATAGGAGAGGGGAGTAGGACAGGTGGGGGCTCGTATGGAGATGAGCGCAGATTTCCTCCCCCTCTCCAATCCCAGAAATGCTGAAGTTAATTTCTGTAATCTTGATAATCACAACATAGATCAAGTATCTCGGCTCCGATTTTGGATCAAACCACATCTGTTTGATCCAAATTCGGACTCTCTACGACTCTCTACCCCCTCCTCGCTCTCTCCCTTCAATCCCCTCCCCATGACCATTTCCCCCCCCAATGCTCGGGTCCTGACCCAACTGTACAGCGCCTTGGGACGTCCTCCCGACGTGAAAGGCGCTCTATAAATGGAATCTTGTTGTTGTTTATTGGGATTATGCTGTGTGCAATTGGCTGCCGCGTTTCTCCCACAAAATATAAGTCAATTCATTTTACAGTATATTGTGTGAAGCACTTTGAGACATCTTGAAAACGTGATAAGGAGCTCTACCAAATGCAAGGATATTATTATTAAACCTATGACTTTGCCAATCAGTATTGTTGCATGTTAGAGAGACTGCTGCTCGCTGAATAAATTTGCTGAGCCGTTCATTGCTGGGAGTCGACATTTTTGTTTAAAATCTTAAGGATTTATTCTGACGATCTGCCCTAACTTTGTTTTAATGGACGTGTTTCTGTTTGTGTAGCTTGTGAGAATGCAGTGGAATTGCTTTTCAATGCAGTGATGCACTTGGGGTGCAAACCCTACCTGGACAGCCAGCGGGCCTCGTGCAGATGTGCGTATGAGGAAAAAATCGACCTCTGACGTGATTTTAAAATATGAAGAAGAGGCAAAGATCACAGCCATGAAGATTGGTAAAAGAAAATAATCTGTATAAGACCTTTCACTTGTGAAACTGAATTTCTTCTTTCTCGGAGTAGCTGTCCTTTCAATGATGGAGTAATGTATAATTAAGTATCACAAGTTACTATCTGTAACAGATTGTGGTGTTTTGAAGGATTTCACACGATTTTCTATATTTCTGAGAAGTTGGCATGCCTTTTACAAATCAGACAGGTCATAGATTTGATCCCTGGTCTCCGCTCAGGTAGCTAGCTGCTCTCAACTGGACCAAATCCTGGCCTCTAAGCTGTCTCTCTGACATGCAACAAGTTATGGAGGTGAAAATTCAGCCAGGGTTTTCTCTCCCAATTTCTATCTTGTGACCCTAACACCAACTGCAATGTATGTAAAGATGGGATCAGTTACACATGTTACTCAAGCTCCTCTTCCTCCACTCTTTCACACTCACACCCCCAAAGATGCACCTGCCTGGTTTCACATGTTAACCTGTGGAAGATGCAGGAGATCGCCTGGTGCACTTGGAACTGTGTCTCAGTAAGGAAGCCATCCTTTCAGGAGTTTGGAGAAAAATGATCAGTTTTTGGGTGGGTGGGGGGGGAAGCATAAATGATGTGTTTGAAGCCCATTGAAGAGCACGTTAACTTCCAGTTTATGCCTATTTACCAAGTTCCCATCTTGTGTTCATGCATCTGGAGGTGGAGCCAAATGAAGATGAGCTTTTCCTCGCATTACATGGCTGAAGGACTATTAATTGTAGTATAATTTGACCTAAGTCAGGTTCATTTACCACCTAGTGGCAGTTTTGTAGGTGGACAGCAACATGGGAACAGTTAGACTTGGTGCTGAAGTGAAAGGCGCAAAACTGAGAGAAAGTAACACAAATATTTTTAATTTTACAAAAATAAATGTACAACCTGGTTCAACTGGGACCAAATGTATGTGCGTGGTACGTATGTAGCCAGACACAAGTCTCAAACATTTGAGCGTGCATCTCCTAAATGAATCTTAGCGTCTGAGTCATAATGACAGCGACGAACAGCTTGTCCTTTTCTTCAGGACTGGCTTTTGAAGGTAACAATGGTTGTGTTGTGAATATCCCACGAACAACAAACTTGACCCCTAGTGTAGTGCCATTCATGTAAAAGAACGTCTCAAATAGTTCCCAGTTTACCTGTCACAGAATGAGGTGAAGGTCTGACGTTTCATTTCTCATTACCATGGAATTTGCACTTTATATTTGTTTTGCACAAATTGCATTAATTTGCACTTGTAAGAGATGCATTGTTTAAAAAAAAATTAACACTAAATCTAACTGGAGGGGAAAATGTCCTGTCAGTGCTGAAAATTCTGAACTTTTTTCTCTTAGTAAAGTGGGAAAGGATTTAAGATGTTTCATCCTTTGCTCAGAGGAGTGCTGCATACTCTTTGCCATCCCTCTATGTAATTTAAAGTTGACTGAAGTGCCTATGACCGCTTAACTTTGTCTCTCTGAAGCTCCTCCACCAATAATCTCCATTCCTCTGACAAGAGTCTCTCAACCTTTCATGTTACTTTGCACGTGGCTGTAAATAGATTGCTTGTATAGCATTTGCTCACCTCTCTTTTACTTATTTCTCCCTTTCCCCACCCTATCCGTCCATATCTATAACTGAGATGTGTAACAGCAACCACAGAATATGAAGCCAGTGAAATATCACAAGATGGGTTTCGATGAAGAAGGCCCTTCAGCCATTTCAGAATACCCACCCTGCTGTCCATCCACTATGAAGCTAAAATGCGTTAAATTAAAATTTATGGCCTAGTCAGTTCATAGAATCATACAGCACAGAAAGAGGCCATTCGGCCCATCGTGTTTGTGCTGGCTCTTTGAAAAGAGCTATCCAAATCAATCCCACTCCTCTGCGCTATCACCATAGCCCTGCAAACTTCTCCCCAAATAATTATCTATTTCTCTCTTAAAAGTTGTTATCGAATTGGCTTCCATCACCCTTTTAGGCAATCCGAACAAATCACTGTGTCAAAAAATTTCTCTTCACCTTACCCTCTGTTTCTTTTAACAACTATTTTAAATCGGTGTCCTCGGGTTACCGACCCACCCACCAGTGGAAATAATTTCTTCATGTTCACCCTATCAAATCCCCTCATCATTTTGAAGACTTTTATTAAGTCTCCTCTTAACCTTCTCTGCTCCAAGGAGAATAATCCTAACTTCTCTAACCTCTCCTGATAACTGAAGTCCCTCATTCTTGGTACCATCCTGGTCAATCTCCTTTTCACCCGCTCCAATGCCCTGACATCCTTCCTGAAGTGTGGTTCCCAGAACTGAATACAGTCTCTCGCTGAGGTCTAATAAGTGTTTTATAAAGGTTTAGCATAATTTCCTGATTTTGAATGCTCCTATTTATAAAGCCCAGTATCCTGTATGCTTTTTTAACAACTTTATCTTCCTGTCTTGCCAACTTCAAAGATTTACTTATATGAACCCCCAGGTCTTTCTGTTCTATCACCCCCTTTAAGGTTATACCATCAGCTTTGATTGCCTTTCCTCATTCTTCCACACAAAATGCATCATTTCAAATTTCTCATCTGCCACCTGTCTGCCCATTTTACCAGTCTGTTAATGTCAATTTGCAGTCTGCTACTGTCCTCTTCACTGTTTACTACTTTTCCTAGCGTAGTATCATCTGCAAACTTGGAAATTGTACTCCCTTTACCCAAGTCCAGGTAATTTATATAGATCAAAAACAGTTGTGGCCCCTGGGGACCATTACTGCACACATCCCTCCAGTCAGAAAAACAATCCTTCACCACCATGTCTGCTTTCTGTCTCCCAGCCAGTTCTGTATTCGCTGCCACTTTCCCTTTAATACCGTGAGCTTCTACTTTGCTTACATGTCTCTTATGTCGCACTTTACCAAACGCCTTCTGAAAATCCACATAAATTACATCAACTGCACTATCTTCATCCACCTACTCCATTCCTTCATCGAAAAACTATCAGATTTGTTAGACATGATTTGCCTTTAACAAATCCGTGTTGGCTGTCCTTTATTAACCCATATTTTTCTAAGCGAAAATTTATTTTGTCCTGGATTATAGTCTCTAGACGTTTCCCCACTACTGACGTTAGACTGATTGGCCTATAGTTCCCAGGTTTATTCTTCTGCCTCTTTTTGTACAGGGGAGTAACATTTACAACCCTCCAGTCCTCTGGCACCACTCCGGTATCCAAGGAGGATTGAAAGATTGTGGCCAGAGTCTCCATTATTTCCACCCTTGTTTCCCTCAGTAACCTAGGAGGCATCCCGTCCGGACCAGACGACTTATTTACCTTGATCACCAAAAACCTTTTTAGTACCTCCTCTCGGTTTATTCTTATCTTATCCAATTTCTCTCCTCTCCTCCGGTACTGTGGCATTGGCTGCATCCTCTTCTTTTGTGAAGACAAATTCAGTACGTCAGCCATGCCCTCTGCCTCCACAAGAAGATTTCCTCTTTGGTCCCTAATTGGACCCTACCTTTGACTAACCTTTTATTCTTTATATGCTTATAAAATACCTTAGGGTTCCCTTCTATGTTACCAACTAATCTTTTCTCATACAATCTCTTTGCCTCTCTTATTTCCTTTTTCAGTTCTCCTCTGTACTTTCTATATTCTGTTTGATTATGTATTTTGGACCTGACATTTATCATAAGCCTCCTTTTTCTGTTTTATTTTAATCCTAATTTCCTTATTCATCCAGTTATCCTGCACACATTTCAGGAATCCTTCCCTCTCCTTGACCTTTACACTGTTATTTTTCCAGTCTATATTAGGTTAATTGAAGTTCCCCCATTATCACTACTCTATTGGTTTTGCATCTTTCTGAAAACTGCTTGCATATTTGCTCATCTATCTCCTTCCCACTATTTGGGGGTCTATAATATACACCTAACAGAGTAACAGTTCCTTAACTCTAACCAATAGATTCTGTTTATGAACCTTCTAGCACATCGTCCCTTTCCAGGGCCGTAATATGCAGCTCCCATTCCTGCCCTTGTTTGAGCCAGGTCTCCGTTATTGCCGCTACATCATAATCCCATGTGGCAAACTTGAGCCGGTTTCTCACCAACTTTATTTGTCATACTCCGTGCATTTACACACATTCACTCCAAGACCGATTTAGTCTGTTCTGCATTTCTCCCCTGTCTAATCCCTCCTTTTTCTGGATTAATCCTTATTACATTGCTATTTGTCTCTCCCAGGCCTCTATGTAACTTGTTTGTCCTCTCTAATGCTACATCCTGATTCCCTCAATATAAATTTTCTACTCTTCTGCTGAATGAAAGAGTTCTCTCTTGCTTGCTAGTATCTCTCTTACTCTCTGGTATCTCTCTTGCTGAAGAATTCCCACTCTCACTAAATTCCTTATCAGAATTCTCACTCTGTTCCACCTCACTCAGTTCCCTCCTCACGCTGCTGGGCTCTGCTCCAGTTAGCATGTTGTTTTAATTGAGACCTGGAATTGTCTAGGGAGCTTTATTCTGCATCTAACCTGTGCTATGCCTGACTTGGAGTTCTGGATCAAACAAATTAAGGTGCAGCATAGCAGTTTTACACAGCGTCTAATAATAATTATTATTCTTGAGGTGGCAGGGCACGAAGTTGATACAGGGAGTCAAAAGAAAAATATTCATTCTTCTCTAATTTCTCTGGATGAGCACAACAATTATAACACAATACATTTACAGGAAGAGATATTGAATGTAGATTTGCTAAAAAAATCATCAAAAAGCTGCTAATTTTTAATTTGTTTTTTAGTCTTCTGTATTGTTTAATTCTATTTTTGAATTCAATAAATTTATATTTTGCGAATCGTTCATTCGATCAGTGGTTAGAGATTGTAAATTTATTTGGACATTTTAGGAACTTTTTATTTGGTTGCACAAGGATTGGGAGCACATTGCTTAATGCCATACAGAGTAATATAATAATAATCCTTCCATTTGATGTAGCGCTTTTCACGTCTTCTCGACGTCTCAAAGCGCTTTACAGAATATGCTGTAAAGTGAATTGACTGTATATTTGTGGGCGAAACACGACAGCCAATTGCACACAGTAGTGTCCCAAAAACAGTTGTGGATTGAAAATGACCAATTATTGTTTTTTTTGGAGGAATTATTATTACCATACAGTACCATATAGATAATGTGTTCCTCAAGGGGATTTCTTCTGGTGTCCTGGCCAACAAATCTCCATTCCAATCCAATGCTGAGGGAGCACTGCAGTTTGGAGGGTCCATCCTTCAGAGGAGTTGAGCTGTAGTCCCATGTGCTTTTCTAATGAATGTTAAAGATTTGGCATTCTTTCAAAGTACAGGGAGTTCTGGTTCCCTGGTCAACATTCATTTCATGTCCAAATGCAACCTTTTCACTTTTTTGGATTGTTACATGTTTGCACAACCTGCTGCTGAGGTTACTTTACACACTCGCCTGCATAGCATTAGTCACTACACCTCAAAGAAACTTGTTTGTGAAATTCAGTGTGATGAGGCAGTATATCTGGCATTTGATAAAGCGCCTTACACATCAAGAGGCCGTCTCTAAAGTGTTTCAGACGACCTAGTGTAAAATGTAGTGACTATGTATTATGTAGGCGAATGTGGCAGCTAGCACATACTTGCGATGCTTCCAGCTGAGGTTGCATCATGAGCCATCTGTTGCTGTTTAAGTAGCCCAAGAACCAGTAATGCCTTAACAGAATCAAATTGGTTGTTTAAAAAGAAGACAGATAAATCTTTGGGTAGCAAGGATAAACGATAAGCAGAAAAGGTTTGGGAATGGGATAAAAAGATCTACCAAAAACTAATAAATTGACAGAACAGCCTCCATGGACTTTGTCCTGTTTCATATTCCTAACTCCTATTGTTTTACTTTTTAAAAAAAGTTATTTACCTGTTGAATAAAAAGTTTTCCATTACTTTTGTAGGAAAGTGAAATGATTAAAATACACACATTTTAAGTAAAATGTACACTGCAGGCTCTCATGTAAGATGATCTTGAATTGTCTATTTCCAGGTGAGCTGTGCCAAGTACAGTAGACTGTCATTTGTATGCAGGTAGAAAGTGGCTTATGCCATATAAGGTATGTCTTGTTCAGCGAGTATTGCTTCCAATAAATAATGGTAATTGTATCTTTGAGGATAACCAGGGTAAAATGTAAATGCAGCAATTTTATTGAAATTGGTGATAGTTTAAATTGGAAAAAGTCGTTTGTGAGACATTCACAATGGTTTAGATAGACAGAAACATCAGAAGCTGTTGTGGGCAAAAAGTATCTTTCATAGAACCATAGAATTATACAGCACAGAAGGAGGCCATTCAGTCCATTGCGTCTGGGTCAGCTCTTTGAAAAGAGCTATCCAAGTCAATCGCACAACCCGCGCTCTCACCATAACCCTGCAAATTTGTTCTCCCCAGATAATTATCTACTGTCTTAAACAACAACAAGATTACATTTGTATAGTGCCTTTCATGTCAGGAGGACGTCCCAAGGCGCTGGACAGAGTAAGCATTTCAGACACGAGCTGGGGTTTGCACTATGTTTGCATTGTCGAGCCTATAAAAGTTGTTATTGAATCGGCTTCCACCGCCCTTTCGGGCAAGGCGTTCCAGATGCGAACGACTCTCTGTGTGAAAACATTTTTCCTCATCGCCCCGCTGTTTCTTTTAACACCTATTTTAAATCAGTGTCCTTGGGTTACCAACCCACCCGCCAGTGGAAATAGTTTCTCCTTGTTCACCCTATTGAATCCCCTCGTAGTTTTGAAAACCTCTGTTAAGTCTCCTCTTAACCTTATCTGCTCCAAGGAGAATAATCCTCGCTTCTCTCGCCTCTCCTGATAACTGAAGTCCCTCATTCCTGGTACCATCCTGGTACATCTCCTTTGGACCCTCTCCAATGCCCTGACATCCTTCCTAAAGTGTGGTTCCCAGAACTGAACACAGTCTCGAGCTGAGGTCTAACCAGTGTTTTATAATGAAGTAGAGGTGGTTTAAGGAGAAGTATATTCTGCTCAGTTACTTCATCAGCCTGAAACGTGATCAGGGGAGAGACAGTGCATCTACCAATTTGACAGGTGTTTTGCCATCTTCCTTTTTTATGTACTTTAGAACAGCTGGTCAGAGACCACCTGAAATCAGATATTTTGTACAGACGAAAATTTTTGCCACCATGTACTAGAAATATTCCTTAAAGTTTCCAAATCTGAGGGTAAGTACCCCCCTCTATTTTTCCACCCCCCATTTACAGACTTCCACCAACGCTGCTGTCTAACCAAATGTTAGGAAGTTCTGGATAGCAATCTTTAACTGATGTATCCCCAATGTGTGATTTCTTGCCTTAATAAAACATAATTTGCGCAGTCCCGGCCCCCACGGGCCGGTCCCGGCCCCCGCGGGCCAGCTTCATTCATTTGAAAAGTTACTTTTTTAAAAAAGAACACCGGTGTTAGCCACCCCCCCCCCACCCGTATAAAGTTCCTCAAGGTAGGAGAACAGGAGAAGAGCTCGCCTTCCTCGTGCCGGTTGGGAATATGAAACGAAAGGGAGAAGAGCGCGCGCGTCCCATTGGGACAACCTTCCTCTGGGATTCCCACGTGTTGATGGGATGCATGGAACTCTCAGTCTGGTCTGGATGCTCTTAAGCACGACGACGGGGCTTCTGCCCGTGTCGGACACCCCTTGCGGCGGCCGACCCTAATACAAGATGATGAATTACAAATAAAGTACACTTCCCCCAACAGGAAATGTGGAATCCAGTGCAAGTTTTTTTTTGGGTGGGGGGGAAAGCAATGGATGGGTCGGGTCGGGTGTGCCCGGATCAGCTGTTTTCTGGGAATGCCAGAATGTGGACTGTGTGTGTTGGGCGTTGCAAACCCCTTCCCATTCGGTGTCAGTGCGGTCAGACCAGCGGGGGGGCGGGGCTGGGGCTGAGGGGGCGGGGCTGGGGCTGAGGGGGCGGGGCTGGGGGTGGGTGGGGCGGGGCCGCGCGGGGCTTGCCGGGAGTGGTAGTTCCAGTTTAAGGCGTGGCCCCCGTCACAAAGCAGCCCGAGGGGCGCGGCGCGGAGGACCAGGTGGGCAAAGCCATGCGAGACCGAGCCGGCGGGTGGAAGCCGCCGCCGCCCCCGCGGGGTGGGTGAGAGAAGCGGGCGGCAGCGCGGTGCATCTCCGTGGCGGTGGTGGGGGGGAGACGGACGACCGCGAGCAAACTACAACTCCCGGGAGGCTGTGCGCGCGCCCCCGCTGGCACCTTGGTGTCAACCGAACGTGCTGGGGCGGGTACCCCGAGGAATCCTTCGTCGTCATTGGCCAGCGCGGCGGACTTCCGGCCTGCGTGTGGCTGAGGGCGCTGTCCATCACCCCGGGGGGCGGGGCGGTGGGTGGGCGGCCCCGGCAGCACGCTCGGTTGCGGGGCACAGTCCCCGCTCGGAGTCCGTTTAAGGGCGTGACGTGTGAGGTACGTACAGTGTGTCTTTGCCCTTTTTTCTCCCCTCTCTGTTAATTAAATGAAAAGCAAAGGCTTTTCCTGCGCTCGCGGTGTGTGTGACATTATATGGTAAAGGGGGGGGTTAGAGCGCGGCTCGAGTGGACCCCCCCCCCACACACACACTGCAGCATCCTCCGGTTGGTACCTTCCCCCCCCCCCCGTTCCCATGGAGACCGCAGGCCACACCGAAGGAGGAGGCGATCGGCTGCCTTCACAGCGACCCTCATTTTAATCAGCACCTTGTCATCCGAGAGCCAAGTGGGGGCGCGGGGGGGGGGGGGAGAGGGGGAATTACTGACAGAACCTGCCTGTAAGTTAAGAGGGAGAACCCCCGCATTAGTACCAGACCCCCCCCACACTGCCCCCCCACACTGCCCCCCTCTCCAGCCCCCTCCTCTCCAGCCCCCCCCCCTCTCCAGCCCCCCCCCTCTCCAGCCCCCCCCTCTCCAGCCCCCCCCTCTCCAGCCCCCCCCCCTCTCCAGCCCCCCCCCTCTCCAGCCCCCCCCCCTCTCCAGCCCCCCCCTCTCCAGCCCCCCCCCCCCTCCAGCCCCGCCCCCTCCAGCCCCCCCCTCTCCAGCCCCCCCCCTCTCCAGCCTCCAGCCCCCTCTCCAGCCCCCCCCCTCCAGCCCCCCCCCTCTCCAGCCTCCAGCCCCCTCTCCAGCCCCCCCCCCCTCCAGCCCCCCCCCCTCTCCAGCCCCCCCCCTCTCCAGCCCCCCCCCCTCTCCAGCCCCCCCCCCTCTCCAGCCCCCCCCCCTCTGCCCCCCACTCTCCCCCCCCCCCCCCCGGACTGTTAACAAGTCCCTGTATTTCGAAGCGGATTCTCTCTCTCCGTCTGTGTCCGGATATTTTCCCGTCGCACCTGTAGTGCGGACCCCCCGATGCAATGCCACAGACCAGGTTTGTCTGCGCGGTTTGAAAACAGTAAATGTTCTGTGTTGGGGTTTTGTTTTGTTGGGGGTTTTGCTCCGTCTCCGGACCCTTCTCGCGGAATAGCTCTGAGGCTCCTGAGAGTTGTGGCTGAGAGCGGTGTTCCAAATTGCGTGGAGTCGACTCAACCTGTGGGTTTAAAGGAGGTGTGTGTTTGTGTGTGTGTGTTTGTGGGTGTTTGTGGGTGTGTGTGTGCTTGTGGGTGGGTGTGTTTGTGGGTGTTTGTGGGTGGGTGTGTTTGTAGGTGTGCTTGTGGGTGGGTGTGTTTGTGGGTGGGTGTGTGCTTGTGGGTGGGTGTGTTTGTGGGTATGTGTGTTTGTGGGTGGGTGTGTGTTTGGGTGTGTGTGTTTGGGTGTGTGTGTGTGTGTGTGTGTGTGTGTGTGTTTGTGGATGTGTGTGTGTTTGTGGATGTGTGTGTGTGTGTGTGTTTGTGTGTGTGTGTGTGTTTGTGTGGGTGTGTGTGTTTGTGGGTGTGTGTGTGTTTGGGTGTGTGTGTGTGTGTGTTTGTGGGTGTGTAAATGTAGGCTGATTGTGTAATTGGCACTTTTTCCAATCTACGCGACAGAAAAACGTGTGCGTTTGATTTAGTGGCAATGTCAGATTGCACATATGTTCGAGCTGAGTTTTTGTCTGACTATTGTCTTTTTTTTGTTTTGAATGATTTTCCTGTTATGAAAGCAGACTGCAAGGAGATGGGAGGTTCACCCAAAGCGCAGGTGGAGGGGCATTGGGTTGCGTTTTCTAATGGACAATACTGTCCCACTTGAACTCGTTACACAGACTCTCTTCCCCCCCTCTCACACACACAGTCTATATAAAGCTCTCACTTAACGCTGGTGACCTCCAACAGGTTGAATCATCCTCGATTTACAGGTGGAAGTTTTTTTTAAAAAAAGCCTCCATTGTGGAAGGCCACCTCTTTTTATTGTGGAGTGGATTTGGGGGGAAACTGTTTCATGTTTGCCGTGCACTCTTTTGACCTCTGCTTTTTCAATTCTCTGTCCTATTTTGGAGATGTCCAGCAACAGATAATTCAGTGGTCTCCCTAAATTTAACCTCTAGGTATTTGTGAACAGTCAAGAATGTAATTCCGTACCAAGTCAACTTCCAACTGCTAAGATGAGTCAGTTGGTAGATGTCACATTGCAAATCACACTGACCCAGATAAAGCAGGAAGCTTTATTCACCAGATTGTAAGCAAATCAGGCAGTTGCCTCTCCTGCTCACTATCCGGCAACATTTGACTGGCTATACCCGTGCATGATGAATACCCATTTCTCACAGCTACGGGTGAGAAATTCCGGCTGGGACTAGGTTTACTCCATTTGTGTAGCACTTCGGAGCAGCCAGAATTCGAACAAATTCTGAACACAGCTGTAATCGTGAAGCCAGTTTTCTGTAATAAATTCTCAGAAGAACAGCTGCAGAAAAAACACCTCCAGAGTTCAGACTCCCTTGAGTTCAATAATTTGCCGGATTCTGTGTGCTTGAAATAATAATAATCCTTGCATTTGATGCAGAACTTTATTGAGATGTCTCAAAGCACTGCACAGAATATATTGTAAAGTGAATTTACTGTGTATTTTGTGTCCCACAGACTGTCTCAGACTGCAATGGAAGAACAATGTTTTTTCCTGTTGGTTTATGCGGCGTTGCTATTTAAATGCACGCAGGTTTGCTTTTTAACACTTTTTTCTCTGGGGAGGCAAGTGCTCCGAGCTTTTCTGTCCTGTCATCCCTATTGTTTGTCGGGTTTTACTGAAAGCAAATGCCGTCTCTTAAAATTGCTGAATTCTAGATGCTGGCTTGATTCAGTAACTTGCATTGTTATGACTCGGCTTCTTCCCCCCCAGTGAGACGTCTAAAGGTCAGCTATTTGAAGGAACAGTCTGACTTTACTTCCAAATTGAAATAAACAGGGCCAGTGCTGCTCCCGAGAGGGCAGGACTTTACTCATAATGGAAAGAGTCCCTGTGTGATTTGCTTTCCATTCCCCCCTCTCCCCGCCCCCCCCATAAAGTACATTCAGTATGCCTTCAGCCTCTCTGACCCCAGCCATTGGGACTCCATCCCACAGTCCCTTCACCTCGCACCCTTCAAGGCACATCTCAAGACTCTCCTCTTTGACCATGCCTTCGGTCACCCTCCTACTACTTTCCCTGCCCCTCACCCCTCCTGATTCCAAACCCCCAGCTCTGGTCTAAATCCCTGACTGTCCAGCCCTTTGGGATGTGCTCCCGATATGAAAGGTGCTGCACAAGTGTAATTTGTTGTTGTTGTATGCCAAGACATCATTGTTTGGATACCTCCAGTAAGACCTATTATCCCAATTAGTGCTAACTCTCTCAAAACGGCTGTGAGGCAATATGGTTGTACTGTACTTGGATGTTTATTTCTGCTGAATCTACGATCCGGTCTGACAGCTTAGTGCGTAAATGCACTGTTTGGGATCCTGAGCTACAGAGACCTACAGGGTCAGCACAGAGCTGGCTGATCAGCTAGAGCAGCACAAGTGGTGTTCGCTGCAGTTGGCATCAGCGTTCAATTGCTGAGGATAGGAAAAAAGTAGCCAGGGTTCCTTCCTGTTCTTCGTTCTACATGACATCTGTAAAGTTCATGTGGATATTGACTGAGTTTTAGCTTTAAAACTAGGCTTCAACCCTTACAGTATAATATGCTGAGAATCTTGCTGACTACGCTTTTTGCTCACACACACACACACACACACGGTCAAGCCACTTTACAGTACATCCTGTGAAGTGTTTTGAGATGTTTAGACAACATGGTAAGGCACAATAACAAAGGATTATATATTTATTTATTTTTATGTTTGTTTGTTGAGTGAAGGGTAGCTATTTGGCTGAGATGCTTATGATTGAGGGATTATGATCCAGCCTTTCTTCCCCATCTTGGAGCCCCTCCACCTCACCCCCTCCTTTGCCTCTTTAAAGGCTTGTCTCAGGAACTTCCTTTTCTACCATGTCTTCGGTCATCTTCCTTCGTCCATTCCACTTTGCCCTCTATCTCTCTTTGGTCCTAACCCACAGCTCGGATGCAAACCCCTCATTGTCCAGCGCCCGGGGACATCCCTCTGACCTGAAAGGCAGTACATAAATTAATTTGTTTTTGTTAGTTAGCTGTTTAACGAGAAAGCAGACCAAGGTGTCACCAAAACAACAACAACAAATTATATTTGTATTGTGCCTTTCATGTCGGGAAGACGTCCCAGGTGCTGGACAGTCAGGGATTTGGACCCGAGCTGTCCGTTGCGATCAGGAGGGGTGGAGAGCAGGGAGGGTGCAGGTAGGAGAGTGACCAGCCAGGAATATCCCTCACTCAGTAGCAACACATTCACACGTCCAACAAGACTGTTTCCTTCCCCTTTTTCCTCTCGACTCACCAAGGGATACAGAAGCTAATGGAAGTGAATCTGTACCAGCCTGGCCGAGATCAGCCAATTCAATGCAAACTGAGGATGTTAGCCTGGGAGCCTTCCTGCTCTGTAAGCTCAGTATCGTATCACACAGCATGTTATCCACTCAGCTGTCAGGGACGTACTGGGTATTTTTGTTAATATATTAGAATACTTTGAGACGCTGTACATCACCAGCTGAACATGACACATTCACGCTCAAAATGCAAAGAACGGACGGAAAATGGTTTCATTTCTGTTTGTAAAAATGTGGACACGTGATACAAACCTCTGGTTATTCTTTGCAGAGCAATTGTCTGACAAACAGATATTTATTTTTGCAGACCTACTCTTCTTTTTCCCTACTCGCTCTTCCCACCCCCTCTCAACCCCCAGATTTCCTGCTGTGATTCACTCCTAATTACCAGCTTTTAAAACATTTTAAAAGATTCATCAAACTTTGTTCCTCTCTGATTTTGAGATTGAAGGAAGGAGGACCTCTCTGTCTTTTAGCTGACAAGTTTCCTTCCGTTTCCTTATTTTAAATAAAGGAAGCTTTACCCTGGCAGCCCAGGCTTAAGCATGAATTATCAAAGTTTGCTGGCAAGCTTTTTACTGTACTGAATTAAGC